CCTGAAGCCTTGAGGCAAGTCGGCATCTAGAATATGTTGTGAAAAAAGGTGTCCCCTTGAGCTTCCCGTCTTCCTTCCTTCAACCCGGGCCTGCAAGTCTCGGACCTGCGCTAACAGCTGTTCCAGCGTGTCGTTTCTGGCTTGTGGATTGACGGTTCTGACAGAGGACTCCTCCTCGTCTATCCTCCTATTTTGCCTTTCATGCGATTGTGCCTGTTGTTCGCGCTCAGGGGGCTGCTGCTCATTTTGGGGTTGTTCGACTCTCGCTTGTTCGATTCTGGGCCGCTCGACCTTTGGTTGTTCGACTGGTGTTCGTTTGAGTTGGGCCGCCACTGCCTCCGCGATCATTCTCTGCATCTCGCTTCTCGTCATGGACAGCGTTTGTTCCTCGCCTTGGGGCGGTGGCCTTGTCTCCTGGTCGAGTTGTCCAGGCTGCCTCCCCATCCTTAGAGAGATTTCGGTTGATGCGTGATCACCCGTCTCTCCGCTTGTGTCCCTCACGTGGCTGGTCTCCCCCTGAGTGAGAACCGGGATCTTGACTCCGGGTGGGGTAATAGGCGTCTCTTCTCCCGTACGCCCTCCTGACGGCGCGTGTGCCCCAAAAGGTGAGAATCCCAACACCTGGAGCGGTGGTCTAAAGCTGGGAATCGGCGGAGGTCACTTGTCCGTCCATGTTGCCCTGAAGTCCTCGTTCAAGTTTTTCTGCACTCCTTCCTTCTCAGCCATCGGAAACAGATCCAAGCTAGGTGTAAAGCTCTTAATTCCTTCAAGAGCTCCCCACAGACGGCGCATAAATGATGGGTCTCTTCTCAGATCTGGAACGGTCCAATGGGAAAACGTCTGGATCTGGGACGAACCGGTGTGAATGAGCTTAGATCTGATGTGATGGCGCTCGAACCGTTGCTGAGCCGCAAGAACACCTGCAAGAACTCAACGCCGGAGGGGTTTCCGGCGTAGAGCCTCCGACGCTCAAGTCAGTATATGAGAGAGATGATGGGAGCTGCCCTGAGAGCAGCAGCAGTAATCAAAAGGATGTAGAATGAATGGGAGTTAGGGTTTTGGGCTTACCTTAGTCCTTTATATAGAAGTACAATATTTACCTGAAGTCCCCAAAGTGCCCCGGCCGACTCAATGGAAATGTCCAGAATACCCCGGTCGGTTCATATTCTGCTTACTTCCTAGTCTGCATCTAGATCCTTCCTTAGCTTCCTTCTTATCCCTAACTCTTCTTCAATATGCTGAGATGTGTCAAAGCTATCGGGAACCACGAACTGCAAGACTCCTTCAGTCGACTTGAGGTATTGAGTCGAGTCGACTGGATCGCATCCCACCGTTAATGGACCCTGATACGTCTGATCGCTGTCTCGGCAGAGGTCGACTCGTTCTAGTCGACAGGTGTATGTTGACTCGGTCGAGAACCGGGTTTCTTGATTGAATACCGTGAAACCCTACTGGCGGAGTCGACTGTGTTGTAATCGACTTGGCAGTTTCGAACTAGATGATATGAACCGTTATGAGCCAATTGTGGCAATGCCATGGTTACTGAACCGTTACACGACAGTATGGCTATATCAAACACGGGCCTGGAAATCTGATTAACTCCTGCCTCGGCCCCATGATGGACGCTACATCAGTAACGAGAACTACTTCACAAACCGATATCGGCACTGAACCGATTTCAACCCCACCGACGTCGAACTCTGTGTTATAGATTGAGCCGACCTTACAACACCACGACCTCCTTAAGCAGCCGATATCTCCGTCCTTCATATGCAGATGAGCCCACAGTCAGTCGACCAAAACGGGGCCTGACAGCATCCGACCTCGGATTTCGTACCGAACACTCCCATCGCCGGGGTCAGATCTCCAAAATTGCAGTCAGACCGACGTCTTCGACGACCAGATTAATTCTCTAGATCGCAGCCAAGGGCCTGATTTCTCTATTATCAGCAAATCTCGGGTTACGACCCGACACCATAGATCAATCACCGGGACCGACCTTAATGCCGTATCGATCTCAAACCCGGCCGACCTCAAATCAGAACAGGGCTGAACTCTTTACAATCGTCGGGGTTCAATTCGCCGACCATGGGCAACCTGTAAACTCCTCCGACCACCGAGGTTAAATTCTTCGATCACCGAGGTCCAATTCGCCGAACGTCGATTAATTAAACCGAGACTCGACCACGCTGCCAACCTCCGATTAACACCACGACGAACTTACGGCCAAGGTCGACCAAATCTTTGCATCACCGAGTTCCGATTTCGTGTATCACCAGAACACGATCTCTCTGCCATCGCCGCCGATGATTACATCGGAGGCCAACATCGGAATAAATAACCTCCAAACCAACATCAATCGTCGGCATCAACCGACTTTGAACATCAGTACTTCGACTTCTACTCAACAAATTCAGCCTGACGTCGACTTCGATCTTGTACTCACAACTCACACCATTATTCAATTTCGCGACTAATAGATACAATTGAAGACAGGGTCCTCTTGTTTCCCGTCAGTCTTTTATCGCGATCTTTTGAGAGAAGAACAATGAGAGAGAGAAAAATCTGCAGAATGAAGAAAAGACAAGTTGTTTGATGATAAGGTCCATTTGATGTTCTATTTGGGCCTCACCCTCAAGCTGGCCCATTCAAAGAAAAGAAAAAGAGAGAAAAGTAGCTGCAAATCAAGCTGAATGATTTATTGGGTTATATTCCGGCCCGAATTTATCTACTTAAGCCGACCCAGCTGAAATCGAAATTATTCGTCCAAACCGCCGGTGGCTGAGTCTGAGATTATTTATTTACACCGACAATAATTGAGACCGAGTCAACATTTAATTTTCAAACCGATTGGAGCCAGGGCCGACATTATTTATTCAAATCGACGAGAGCTTAGTCCGATTTTATTTATTCATGTCGACATTAGCCGGGGCTGACCGCATTTATCAATACCGGGACCAAAATTATTTATTCAGACTGACAGGAGCAGATTATTCATTCAAACAGACGAACGTTGAACCGACTTCATTAATCACTGGTGGGGTCGAGTTTACTTATCAGTGGTGGAACCGAGTTCACTTGTTCAAATCGACAATAACTGGGTCCGCGCTTATTTACTATGAGCAAATTTATTACTCAGTCGTCCGATACTTCACTTACTTATGCTGGGGCTGACTACATTTATCAAAGCTGGGGTCGAATTCCTTTATACCGACACCGGTCGTTTATCTCCGACATCTCCATATTTGCTCGCCAGAGCCTCGACTCCACCTGAGCTGACGTCTTTATAATATCTCGCTGAGGTATCTTTCATTTCTTACATTTAAAAAGAGCCGAATCTCGAAAAATAGTTCGGTGCATAAAAATGTGTGTCTTCCCCGCAAGAGGCAAGGTACAGAACCTACCATGGGGAAACGCAATTAATGGACCTCAATAAATCGGTCCCCGTTGCTAAGGCTAAACGTGTTTCATACCCTGAAGTTGGTATGACCTGGCCAAACGCAACACAGCCGGATACTTCCAAGCCCTGCAGATGGCTTGGGGAGGCTGATGCCCTTCGTGGCTAAATCCTGAAGTTGATTTAGCGGGCTTACAATAATAACCGACATCAATAATATTCTTTCGCCAAATCCTGAAGTTGATTTGGTACGATCAATATTCTGGCAAGGCGTAGCACCTACCGGCAAAAAAGTCAGACTCGACAAGACATCGAGGTAACATCATTTATCGTACAGTAATTATATCTCGCACGTGCTCATTATATATTCATACATTCATGCATACATTCATCATATACGCGCGTCATATATACATCCTGACATGAATACTTCTTTTCCAAACCCTGAAGTTGGTTTGGCAAGGCTGTGCGCCCAATCTTTTCCAAACCCTGAAGTTGGTTTGGCGAGGCTAACACCTTTCTTAAAATCACATGAAACATCGGGAGCACTACCCGATCGTGCAATAATTCAATAAAAATCAGACCGAAGACCGGATAACGAATTATCCGACCAGGTCCACATTAATACGAAAAATAAAAAATCGCGTCGTCTCAATACGACATCAAAATCGCGAATCCCATAACAATATCATGGGGCCCGAGTACTCACACAAGGCCATCATTACGGACGCGAATCTATTAAAATGCATCATATTACGTGCAAAACGCGAAAACTGGGTACCAAAATACCCGACCAAGCCATCCAGGTCTCCATTTATATAGCAATCTCAAAAAGTTGACTATCCACACAGTCAACTCCATTTGTTCGAACAAGTAATATGATTGACATTAATAAATCAGGCCGAAGCCTGAACACGAGCGATAAAGCGACTACGGGTCCCAAAGTACCCGGACGACATTCATACGTCACAGCATTCAGAAATATTATAAAGCATAAGTCCGCCAAAATTGATTTTACATGCGACTTCAGAACAGTTCTATTCAGAACGTATTCTAAAGTCGGGGGCCTACTGTTGTTACCTAATTTTGGCCTCGCTTATTAAAACAGTCCACGTAGATATATATATTAAATCATGTGGATATATATTATCACTTATTATATTTTATCTTATTGTTAAGGTACAATAATAATATCGCCTGTAATAATATCGGGGTCGATAAAACTAATATAAATACCCTCCCCAATGATGGACATTGAGGATAAGTCTGAGGGGTGACTTTATCTTTCTTCCTTCCTGATAAACACTAAAAGAGGCGGTGCCTCAATTCTGTCTTAAAGAAAGAACATTTGAAGCTTCTTTCTGAAGGCTTCTTGTTTTGATTCTACACCAAAGAAAGAACATTTGAAGCTTCTTTCTGAAGGCTTCTTGTTTTGATTCTACACCAAACAATCAATAAAAAGACAGCTATTTATCTTCCCAAAATCATCTTAATTCTTATGTTTCTTATACCCCTCATTTACGGAATAGGGGTGTACATTTTATGTTGTTACAAAATCGTATAACAACAGCCACCAACCCACCAACATCAACCACCACTAATCCCTGCCAACAACTAGATCTTAATTTTCATATCTGGTGTATTTGATATATTAGAAGGACTTAGTTGCAAATTTAAAAAATCTAATATATTACAATTTGGTTCATGAGCCAAATTTATGATAAATCAAAATAAAATTAATATTTTATTATTTTTAAATTTTATTGGCTTAAATCAAATAATATTTTCACATAAAAAGTATAAAAAATAATAATATGGTTTTATGTAGTTTAGTTGTTCAGTTATTTAATAAAAAGAATCAAAATCAAACTGAAATAATGGAATTTTTTAAATTAAGAAATAAATAATTGATTGAAATATAAAAGTTCCGAACGGAAAAATTTAGTTTGGCCAATTTCATTTGATGT